TTCCTTTCAAAGCTGAAAGTACTTGCATGTGCAATCAGTATTTGTTATGGGCATGCACAATCAGTGTTTGTTACAACACTACTGTGTTGGATACACATACACACTAAGATGGCATTTTCCCATTTGGGAAAAGTTGAAACTGCAAAAACATATTTATGATGTGGGAAGAAATCTATTCTTAATTTGTATGACAGTTATACTGAATAATTAATTCCCAGAGGAGAACTTAATATGGTTGTGAATGTAAAGGAATTCAAGTTCTCATAATCTCAGAACACAGCCAGCCAAACACCATGGAATTTGCTGAGAACGTAACTTCGGGTCCTATAGACTGCATCTTCAATTTTTAATAATGATGGTGGTGGTGGTGATTTTTTAAAAAAACAAAAAACTTTTCCAGAATATACAAATTGCTTTTTAATGAAATGATTTTCATTCTAAACACATGCAAATAAAAATAGATTGCCAAAGCGAAAGAAGTGCTTCTATAGAATATTTCCCCATAAACCTAATGCTTAAAAGTCTCTAACTCAAGATACCATCTCATTTCACAATGTACAATAGCAGGAAACTATTTCCATTCGAAGCCAGACTATTTATTTAACAGAATTTGCATTAATCATAAAAACCCCTAAGCAGTTTACATAAAATATACATTAAAATTATTGATATTGTAAAAAAGATTGACCTAAACCTTAAAATATAAATATAAATAAAACCAGCAATTAAAAATACACATTATAAAATAAAGTTACATTCACAGCATATTTACATATCTGGGTAGGCTTGCCTAAACAAAAAAGTTTTTTTGCAGGTGTCAAAAACAGTACAGCACCGGCCTAATGTCAATGGGCAGAGAATTCCACTTCTCCTTAGAAGTGCAGAACAAACATTATGAGCTACTTGCAGTTTTGCATACTGAAGTGGTCCAGTGAGATATGGGGGAAGACAATAATAAACTCTACCCATTCCAATATATCAGAAATGTTCAGAAGCAGAACAATATCCATCAATCAGTCCATGATGGTCCCCTAAAGGTAAAGGTACCCCTGACCGTAAGGTCCAGTCACGGACGACTCTGGGTTGTGGCGCTCATCTCGCTTTATTGGCCAAGGGACCCGGCGTACAGCTTCCGGGTCATGTGGCCAGCATAACTAAGCCGCTTCTGGTAAATCAGAGCTGCGCACGGAAATGCTGTTTACCTTCCCGCCAGAGCAGTACCTATTTATCTACTTGTACTTTGACGTGCTTTTGAACTGCTAGGTGGGCAGGATCTGGGACTGAGCAACGGGTGCTCACCCCATCGTGGGAATTCAAACCACCGACCTTCCGATCGGCAAGCCCTAGGCTCAGTGGTTTAGACCACAGTGCCACACTACTAAAAGTACTTACATAGAGATGCCCTCTGAAATCTGGGGGGGGGGGGTGTTTCAGAGGACAGGGCTCTTGTATCATATGTGTTAAGAGCAGTAAACCCACAACATGATTTACTTATGTGATTGCAGCTTTGCGCAGGTGGCAGGAAAATAAAGAAATGGAGAACAGCAAGAAACAGCCGGAAGAGGCCATCCGAGATCTTGCGAGAGCTCATGAAGACCCCATGAGATTTCATGTGACCTTCCCAGAGCCTAGTAAGCAAGGTAGACCTCTGGAAGACTGTGGGTGGATCTCTCAGGAGCCACCGGCTTCCAGAGGCCTCATGCAATCTTCCCAGAGCCTGCTAAGTTAGGGAGGGGGCAGTTCTGGGGTCTTCCTAGCTTTGTGTAATTTTTGCACATGAACCCCTGGAACATAACCCCACAAACATTTCAGCCTACTGTTCAGTTTGTGGTGCTGGAATAAGAAATGCTGTATCTGCCAAATACCCTGATCTACCTAGCAAGAAGTGCAGGAGCACTATTCCTTTTTAAAAAAATTGTCACTGTACCTGAAATTAAGAAAGCTAATTTTTTGCATAGATCTTGGTTAGGCTTGTGTTGGAATAGTCATTTGGAATATGGGTACTATGCTCAAGAGTACTCTGTTGTTAATCTGGAATGTATGAAAACACAATATGCTGGAGCCATGTAACTACCCGTAAGTGCAGAAAGGAAATGGATGCAAATAACCATTTGACCAGCATCATAATACATGGGCTCTCTAGCAGTTCTCATAATGATGCTTTTACAAGAGGTTGCACAAGCTCTTGAGCCAGTGGAAGGCCATATTTGGATTTTGTTTCATTTTTCCTCCCACAACAAGTTGGCATGAGGTGAGTGGAAGACACTTTCTGCATGCCGAAGAATACCTTGGATCCAACCCAATACTGCTGTGATAATTAAAAGATGTCTCCAGATAAAAGAGAATGTCACTGAGGCAGTCTGCCATCAGAAAAAAATATATATAATGTCTGAAAGCTATCAAAAGCATGGGGTAAAAAACCTTCAGAATATATCTGGATAAGTGAAGCGTTCACAGATTTCTTTCATTCCTTTTCAGTTCACTCCTGTGTAGAAACCTCACTATTACTACACAGAACAGAAGCAGATTCATCCCCAGCACAATTAACTTCTCTGTTTAAAGAAGTGCTAATGACACTAACGAAGTTTGCCAGCTCAGCCAGCTATCAATTAGCTACTGTGTCTGGGGACACAGTCATAAAGCCATTAACACAGTGCCCACTTTAAGCTTTGAACTTCCTCTCTGCCACCCCCCTCTCCAAACCTAGTAAGAGGGGGGAAAGAAATAGAAATATTACTTTCCTCAAAATGTGTGCCTAAAGATACTGCACCCATATTGAACAGGTATCTAGGTTAAAGCCCTGCCCTTATCATAATTGTTATTTGGACTTCCAAAACCATTATTTAACCTATAGACGCAAAGGCTGCTGAATGTCCAAGACTCTGCTGATTATTAAAGGAACACTGCAATAGATAAAACCAGTTTGCTTATTTTCAAAAACATATTTACTTCAGCAGGCCCATTACTAGCTTACTAAGCTCGCCTACATTCTACATAGGAATGGGCACACTTGTGTGTGTCATATAAATAAGGACCGCATAGCTAAGAAGTGGACGAATGATTTCCACAGTCGAATGGCTGTCAAAGAATTTTTGAAATATTAAGTTTAAAATATCCATACGCAAACATTCTTTCACATATTCTAGAAAGCATGTACAATGCTTCATTTGTAATATAGAAATGCTTTCAAAATTCAGCAGATTTGAGCATAGTTATGTGATCTAGACAGGTAGAGTCATCTGGAAGGCAAGTACTGTACAAGTACTGTAATAGGATTGCAAAGGGTGACCAGTGAAGGCTTACACAATTCCCCAGGGCAACTATGTATAGTAAAAATGTATAACAGTATTGTAATGGTTCTAGGGGTTGCTCGTGCGTAAGCCGGTGCAAACACCTGGCTGGATTGCCTGAGTGAACCTTTTCTGTCCGGACAGCCGTCTCAATCGTTGGCAGAATCTGTCAGTGGGCGTTTCTTAAACTTATTCCAGCAAAGAAGCTCTTTGACGCCTAGTCTCCTCCTACTTTCTCTGCGCGAAAGGCTTCTGCGCAAGGAGGGCGTAGGCAGCGGAGGAGCTCTTCTCTCCCCGCTGGTCCCCGGCAAGGAGTCATGGGATCGCCTCGCCGCTTCCCCCATCTGCCCCCCTTCTCCACTGGTGCTACGCTGATTCTCTTCCCCAGAAGATGGGCTGCCTCTTCCAATCCCGGGACGCTCTCCGGAATCCCTCTGGATTTTGCTCTCTCCCTCCGGCACTGATGGCAGTCCCCTGACAAGTATCTAACACAAACAAACTTCATTTCAGGTGAACTAGTTTGCCAGCTGGATCCCAAAGCATGAGAGCTGAGTTACCGGTACTTCGGATTATGGCAGCAAAAGAGTAGATAAAACATTTGAGCAACAAAACTTTTTCCCAGGCCAAACAAGATGTAGATAACAATGTAAAGATTACGTGAACTGACTGATGAACTGTGTAGCACCACTACAGTTCTATAACATTAATCAACTTTATTTGTTTTAGAATTTCCAGCCCTGCCTTATATACTTCAGAGAGTTCTCAAGGTAGGCTACATAAATTACCTATGACACAGTGGGGAACCTTTGACCTGCCAGATGTTGCTGAACTACAACTCCCATCATCCCTATCCATTGGCCATGCTTGCTGGGGCTGATAGGAGTTGTAGTTCAGCAACTCCTGGAAGGTCATAGGCTGCCCACTCCTGGCCTATGGAATAAAAACTATGATAGAAAGGCAAACTATGACCAAAAAAAACAAGTAACTTAACATCAACCCACAGCAACATTCAAGTAGCTCAGTTCAAGCAGGAAATATAAGCCCCCAGAAAAAACCATATCAGATCCACTTAGGAAGCACATGCTACAATAAGGAGGCAGTCACCAAGGTAGCCTTGTGTGTTTCAGCCATCCATCTCACTCCTGAAAACTTGGCATTTTGATCCCTGTTTGTCCCACTGGGGACGAACAGCTAATCATCAAATGGCACAGAATACTTCATGCCTTCCAACACTTCAATTTTAATTGACACTGCACAACGCCACATTTGTGACATTTTAGTGTCATCCAACTCTTTTGACATTTTCCTGCACCAAGACTTGGGAACTATCAGTTAGCAGCAGGCAGCCAAGTTAACTGGTGATTCCTAAAGGAATGCAATATTATTTATCATAAAGAGTATTTAAAAAGAAAGGGGGGAACATACACCAGAGCTGCCTCAAGGAGTCAGAGCTACAACAGATGAAGAACCCAACAGTAGCTGTGGTCTTTTCAGAGGCATGAACAAAAGTGACACATGGAGCCAGCAGGGGGCCTGTAGCATTTGATACACAACCAGTAAGAGAAGCATAAGAAAAGAAGCATAAGAAAAGCCTTGATGCTTTGTTTCCAGAATCAATCTGCTGCCCCAGGACAGAGGAAATACTTTACAGTGTTTTAAGATCTATTGCAAGCTGGCTTAATGGGATCTTAAAAATAAAAAAGAAAGATTCTCCTTCAAGTAATAAAAGTTTAATTTCATTTCGTCCCTTTAGTTTGGGTCATGCTTAATACAACTGAGAAGTAGCGAGTCAAACTGAATGAAAGCAGAGCAAACAACAACAATGAATGGCTCCAAGTGCCCTCTGTATCTCCTTTTCGGATTATCTGATATATATATATATATATATATATATATATATATATATATATATATTTCCACTACACAAGAGGCCTTAGCAACTCCAACCACCCTCCCTGCTTCTCCTCTCCACGACTTACTTTTAACTCCTACATGCACAATTTTTGTGTTTTGTGTTATTGTTTTGCTGCTGCTCAAAGTGCTACCAGAGGTCTCTGAGAAACCCAATAAGATTTTTTTTTTAAAGATTTTGGACACAATGATGGAAGGGGGGGATAGAACTCCCCCCCCCGCACTATTTCATTCCAAAGCAGAAACAGGAGACTCCCTGATCAGCAGATAGCTTATCATGTCTACAGAATACCTGCCTCCACTTAACCCTCTGGGGCTTTCTGCTTCAGCTGGTCCTTTCAAACAGGGTTTGTAGATCAACAGGTACTCTAAGTTCTTCAGAAACAAATACTCTCTCTTCCCTTCCCCCACTAAATAATGTCTTAGCTAACAACTTTCAATTCTAATACAGGGCTTCCATCTGTAAGGCTTTTTTCCAAAAGACTCCAAATGAGGGCTCACAGCAGAGTTGGAACAAGCCAGATTTGTTTCTGTCAGTTCAGATACCCTTTTTAATTCTACAGAAGGGTATCTGTGATGGGTCAAGAGTTACACAAATGTTCAAAGCACAACACTCTGTTTGATGTTATGGATCCCTTTTATCATGGGCCTTCAAGGAAACCTGATGTTCCAGTCATGAATGTTTCTGCATTTTAGAGAATTTTTCACAAGACTGTGAACAATAATATAAAGTTAAACAAACATATAACAGTAATATGTTTTTAAGTATTCCAATGAAACACGAAAAGTCATTTCAAATTAGTCATAGATAAAATAATAAAAGTCAGCAACTAATAAAACAAAGCACCAGTCCAAGATTACCAAGATATAGCGGAGCCAAACAGTAGAAACCAAAGCCACCAATTGAGCTCTCCTTCAAAGAGGAAAACTTCAAATATTTCTGGTTTCAAGTATTCACTTCCTATTGTGTCCAGCATTCATTTTCTTTTTTAAAAAAACAACAACATGCAGCACAATGCTTTCATTTGAAAAACACACACATTATTTAGCAGCACACAATTTCATGTGATCTTCAAACCACCCACTGCATTTATCTAAGAGTCTGTGTCGAGCCCCTGGAGATTAGCTGCTCAGCACCTTGGGACCAGTGAAGGAAAACATCAATAATTAACTGTATCAGTACAATGGCATTATGATGCCATCACAGGCAGAGGCACCAGCACTAATGTTAAGGCAATATATTACACAGCTTCATGACTCTACACAATGTGTATTGCCACTGTAGGTGCCAGCATTTCACTTGGATTTATTTTCTTAGAATGCAACGAGAATATTTTAAATCTCAGCTATGAATGTTTGAAAATTCGCTTTCATTGTACTATATACATTAGTTAATGCCTTCTGAAATGCACCAGCCCAAGTTTTGAAAGAAAGAAAAAACAGCAAAGGGAAGCAGTGTAAATGCTGTTGCATAGAAACTGAATGTTTTCCAAGTCCCTTTCCCCCCTATTCTGACAGAAGACAGCATTATAGAAAGCTGGAATTAAAAGTACAAAAGGTAACAGAGCTTGGTGGGAAGTTAAGATGCTTGACTAGCCTGTTTAGAGTGAAGCAGAAAAGCCCTATTAGCGCCCTGCTGTTTCTGCCAAACCAGGCCAATCGCCCTGTGGGAAGACTTATCATTGTTAACTCTCTTTGTGATGCATAACATTCAGTTTGCTGCAAGCTGAAAGGGTGCTCTAAGTGCAGAGTTTTAATCACTTTGAAATTAACCATTTATTTCAAGGCAAATAAAAATGACTGTGCTAATATCAACATAATGATATTTTAAATACCCATAAAAGCTGTGTAGTTCTTGTACTGTATAAGCCATTTTGAGCATTGGTATGTACAATTTTGGCATATTTGCGTGGCGAGTTCCCGCCCACCACCAGGATAAATAAAGACACAAGACACCATAATTTAAGGTTAAATGGGCGAATTAGGCCACAACTTTATTGAATTCAGGAATGAGAGGCATTGGCTTAGGCATTGGTCCTATCGACTATCCGGCTCCAGCCCATTTGCTGGAGACACAGGAAGGGTTAACACCATAGAGGGGGAGTCTCCTGCTGAGGCACGTCAACTAGGAGCTCCCCCGGGTCACCGCTCGGGGGCGTGCCTTTGGCCCACACCTCCATAGGCTTCGGACAGGGCCACGCCCCCCGGAGTCCTTTATCGGACCACCCTTCGTTCACTGGGGGGAGGTGATGGTGTTCCTCCCCCCCACATCCTCTTAACCCCTTCTTACCAATGCCTAACCGCCAATGCCGAGGAGTTGTGACGAGTTGCTACGAGGTAGGCGAAAAACCAAATGGCTGTAAATTGCCAATTGGGAAAAATTCCTACCAAGCCCCTTGTGGCGACAGACCGAAGTCCATAGCAAAGTCAGAGACCTACCTAAAGCCTACCCAAAGGGAGGGAGGGTGGGAAAACGGGGCTAGCCGGCGAAAAGAGGGCAAGCCCCCTCTCCGCCGGCCCTAAATAGGGCAGGCCAATCGGCTGGCTGGGGGGGGGGAGACACGGCCGGGATTCCCCTGCTCTCGCGGGGGCTGAAACCAGCCCCCGCTCATGTGGGGGTGGGCGTGAAGCCCGCAACCCCACCTCCTGGGCAGGCCGGAAGTGGCTTTCTGCTACACTCACCACTGAATTCAGTGGGGCTTACTTTTGAGAAAACATCTATGCAATTACATTGTTCTGATCATGTACTGCTTAAGAGCATGTACTGCTTCGATTCCCTGAAGACCAGAATATAGTGTCCTGTGTCCAGGAAGAGAAGTTAGAGGTTATCCTGTATTAATCAATGCTGTACAAGAGATTATCCATTATTTGACCCACCTAGTACAGTGGTACCCCGCAATAAGAACGCCTCGCAAGACGGAATAGCCGCTCGACGAAAGGGGTTGCCGTTTTGAGGCGCTCACAAAGCAATTTCCTATGGGCTTGCTTCGCAAGACGACAGCCCATAGGGAAATCTCAGGGACAGCGGGAAGCGCAGCGCGTCTTCCCCACTGTCCTCGGACCTCCTCCGAGCCTGGTGGCGGGGCGGGGACACCTCCTCCCGCCGCCGCCGGGCTCGGAAGGCTCCTCCGAGCCGGGCGGGGGAGGGAACACCTGCCGCCGCCGCCCGGCTCGGGACGGTGCTCCGAGCCGGGCGGGGGAGGGAACACCTGCCGCCGCCGCCCGGCTTCGGAACGGTGCTCCAGGCCGGGCGGGGAGGAAGACCTCCCCGCCGCCGCCCGGCACGGTGCTCCGGGCCGGGCGGGGGAGGGAAGACCTCCCCGCCGCCCGGCTCGGGACGGTGCTCCGAGGCCGGGCGGGGGAGGGAACACCTCCCGCCGCCGCCCGGCCGGAACGGTGCTCCGAGCCGGGCGGGGGAGGGAAGACCTCCCCGCCGCCCGGCTCGGAACGGTGCTCCGGGCCGGGCGGGGGAGGGAACACCTCCCCGCCGCCCGGCCGGAGCGGTGCTCCGAGCCGGGCGGGGGAGGGAACACCTCCCGCCGCCGCCCGGCTCGGGACGGTGCTCCGGGCCGGGCGGGGAGGGAAGACCTCCGCCGCCGCCCGGCTCCGGAGCGGTGCTCCGAGGCCGGGCGGTGGGGAGGGAAGACCTCCCCGCCGCCCGGCTCGGAGCGGTGCTCCGAGCCGGGCGGGGAGGGAACACCTCCGCCGCCGCCCGGCTCGGGCGGTGCTCCGGGCCGGGCGGGGGAGGGAAGACCTCCCGCCGCCGCCCGGCTCCGGAACGGTGCTCCGGGCCGGGCGGTGGGGAGGAAGACCTCCCCGCCGCCCGGCTCGGAACGGTGCTCCAAAGCCGGGCGGGGAGGGAACACCTCCGCCGCCGCCCGGCTCGGGAACGGTGCTCCGAGCCGGGCGGGGGGAGGGAACACCTCCGCCGCCGCCCGGCTCGGAACGGTGCTCCGAGCCGGGCGGGGGAGGGAAGACCTTCTGAAGGCGGGCGGGGGCGAAGTCTTTGCTCCCCCTGCCTGCCTGTCCCGGAGGGCTTTTGAAGGCGGGGGAGCAAAGACTTTCGCCCCGCCCGCCTTCAGAAGAGGTCCAGGACCTCTTCTGAAGGCTGGCGGGGGCAAAGTCTTTGTCCCCCTGCCTGCCTTCCCAGGGGCTTTGAATTGCCCCGGACAGCGGAGAAGTCCTCCGCTGTCCCGGGTGATTTTAAAATGCCGCCCGCCAGCATTTTAAGATCGCCCGGACAGCGGAGAAGTCCTCCGCTGTCCCGGGGTTTTAAAATGCTGGGGGTGGGAAGAAAAGCCCTTGCCCCCCCCAGCCTTCAGAAGAGGTCCGGGGACAGACTGTCCCCGGACCTGGTCTGAAGGCGGTTTCCCTAGGAACGCATTAATTGATTTTCAATGCATTCCTATGGGAAACCGTGCATCGCAAGACGAAAAACTCGCAAGTCGAAGAGACTTGCGGAACGAATTAATTTCGTCTTGCGAGGCACCACTGTATAGAGATGAAGATGGAGGTCTGGCTGTCAGAGGTGCACTGCCTAGCAAATGCCCTTTGTGCATGCAGCGTGGCAGAAAACATTCATCAACAGATCAGGGCTTGCATGTGAATGAACATTTACTTATGTGATGAGACAAAAATATAGAACTTAACCAGTGCTGACATTAGCAGGTGACCATAGACATGAAAGTGAGGACCTTATGAACATGGTGTATGAGGAAGTGGGAAAATGCATGACAAGGGTGGCTTAAGGTGTTGTTTAAGATCTTAATATATTCATAGTCACAGGATACATTGCTGAATTTTTGTAAAGTCATTGGCCTGTAAAACACTAATTCATATAACACTAATTCATGATTTGATGGCCCTCTGTCATGTATGCTTTTCTTGAGATTCCTGCATTGCAGGAGGTTAGACCAGATGGCAGCTCTACTATTCTAGGACTCTATTGTTAAACCATAGTTTGGTACTATGAGTGAACCTTCCTAAGTAGCTTAACTGTGGTACGTTTACTTCCAACAAAACACAAACTGAAGCCATGGTCTGTGGTCTCCTCATGAACCTTGGTGTATTATGTACAAACCCACCACCCTTTTTAAAACTGTGATTATTATTATTTTGGCTACTCCATCCCAAATGCTTATTGAATTATAAAGGCATTGGGCAAGACCACCTGGAAAACAGACTCTGGAGTGACAAGCTCTGGCTTGTATGATCTTCTGTGGGAGAACCCACAGATAAATTGTGATTTGTTGAACAGATCATGGCTTTGTATTATGTGCAA